GGGGGGGGGGGGGGGGGGGGGGGGGGGGGGGGGGGGGGGGGGGGGCAGACCTCCCGACACTTGTCTACAAAAACGGGAGAACTCCACACAGCGCCGCTTACCTTCTCTCTCTGCTTGAACGTCAGTTCTTTCGCGCCCCCACCTTTTCCCTTGCCCGCTCCCCCCGCAGCCGCGGCCGCGGCCCCTCTCCTCTCCGCCTCGCCTTGCCGTTGCCGCTTCCTCGACGCGTCCGAGGACCACAAGGCAGAGTCCTCCGTGACGATGTTCGGCCGAGACATCTGCGGGGGAACCAGGCCCTTGTTCGCGCTCCCCGCCCCCCCCTTCGAGTCCTTGCTCTTCACGTTGCTACTGCTGCCGCCATCTGTTTTCTTGCGCTTGGGTGTTGTGAGCGGGGCGTCCGCTGCTGATGCCGCCGGGGCGGACAGGAAGGAGGAGGAGCTCGTGTCTACGCTGTCGAACAGATCCGCGGCTGACGGGAGGGAGACCTGCGAGAGAGAGAGAAGAGAGAGAGAGTGTGTGTGTATGTGTGTGTGTACTCGTGTAAACGCATGCCGCAGCCGTTAGAAAATTGACCTCGAATCCCTGCAACTCCGGGACGGAGAGAAATGCCGGGTTTTCGCTGGCCCAGGTTACGTTTCGTACGATCAAACGGAAGCTTGTCATCATCCTTGGGATTGCTGTGCCAAACCAGATACGCCATGGATTGATTGGAGGACGGGGGGGGACGCAGAATGTCGATTTTCAACACTCGTGGGGTTGGGAATGATGAGTGATGTGTTCTTCAACTGATCGAACCCGGGGCCAGTGCTATATCGGGAAAATCAGGAGGCATTGTTCGTCGGTGAGGGGGGGTGGTATACAACGTACCAATCGTGCCACTCTCGAGAAAGACTTCATAGCAACGAAACCCACGGAGATACAGCCGATCTAGGTGTACATCAACTGCGAATCCTTACCCGGCCTTCCACCAGGATCGTCAAGCGAGTACTATGTGCAGCGCCACGGTTATTGAGTATGATTAAAATTGCTGCAAGTGTAACCGCTTTTTCCGACCGCTCAAGAAGTAAGACACCTCTTGTCGTAGACCAACGTGCCCGACTGCCAGAGCAATGCGGTATTCACGAGTACTCGAAACCAGGAGCACGAGTGGGGGGAGGGGGGGGAAGGGCGCACGAGAGCTGTAGATCCAAGCCTGTCATAACCTGCGAAGGTCAAGAGCGCCAGATCTATCCTCGTTTGACCTGAAAATAAAACTGCAGCAACGGGGGGGGTATAGCAATACCTGAGGTTTCTTCGGCTTTTGCTCCTCCTCTGGCTCCTCCTCTGACTCCTCAGAAGAAGAACCCGAACCCCCATAGTCTCCCACAAGTGACAGAGCCATACCTGAAGCAGGGAAGAAAGAGTAGGGTCTAGCAGGCAGGGGTGCGAATACTGCTGTAGTGGCGGATGCAATCGAGAGTTGTTGTGGCTGCTTGATTCGAGAGTTCCGGAGGCGTTATTTCGGAGCGGGGACGCACAGATTTTTTCGCGGCGCAACGGCCTCTTGCCTGTGCTTTCCGTTGTCGGTCTTGCTCTCTGCTCCCCCCGACTCGACAAAGAAGGACAGAGGAGGGCAATACACATAGACAGAGAGAGAGAGAAGGGAGCAAAGCTGGCATTTGGGGCTTGTTTTTCCTTGGTTAAAACAGCAAGGGTCCGTTTGAAGGTATGCGGAAAGGTCAGATCGGCAATTCTGTAGTTCAAAAGCCGGCTGGGACCGCCGGCTAGCGCCCTCGTCGGAACGGTGGTAGCACTGTCGCATTGCAATAGGCGGGGAGCTCCCCCTGATCGAATCCAAACAGCATTGTTCCATTGGGAGCTGTGCTACTCTACTGTGTGAAGTCGGTCGGCATGAGCGTGTTAGAAATTCAAATACAGCACGAGAACCCGACGGCGCATGGGCTATTTTTTAGCCGTCCCCGCTATTATGGGGAATTTGGGCTGCGAACAACCCTCTGCACATCGGCCGTCCCACTACACCGGTACGACCTTAACCTCCTCCTACAGGCCAACCAACGCATTTTGAGTACGCATCTCTCTCTTTGTCTCTCTCTCTCTCTCTCTCTCTCTCTCTCTCCCAAGCAAGAGGATCATACCGCGGCGCCTCCATGACCATAGTGTCGGGATGAGAGGAAACTGTGCTATCTAGGATGCCCGGGGCTTGTTACGTTAGTGGCAGGAAACTCGAGACACGGGCCACTGCAGTCATGGGCTTTGATTTCATGGAGGACCGACCGGTGAGTGAAGAAGCCGTCGTGTATGCACGGCGTAGCTATCATGCCAAACATTGCTGGAGGCATCAACATACATGATCTCAGCTTTTGCTTTCAATGGGCGATGCATCCTAGACAGGCACGGTAGCCTGTCGTTGTGTTTCATAGGGCCGTTCGTCTGTTCTTGCGTTTGTGTTCTGGCCCTTCGGTGAGGAGGTATTAAACGGCGAAGCACTGTAGCTACATGCGGACCCCCGACGATCGCATTTGGATTGAACGCATCTTCGCGCTGCAACTCCGTGCTTTGTCGCTTCCAGAGGGGACCTCCTTCGGTCAATCCGTCTCGAGCCAACCAAACATCTTGTCGCCGACACGTTCAAGATCGTTCGGCGTGGACCGGCCTCCACAGCACCTTCGATGCAGACTGCTGTGCTGGTTAGAGTAATGTAAAGCACACCTGCAATCACCGAGAATGCCGAAGCACATTTTCCGTAGTGCTCATCATCCGGTAAAGACTGCTANCATATCATGTATTCGATTCGGCTAAACTCGACACATGCTCAACAACAACCTCTCTCTCTCTCTCTCTCTCACTCTCTCTCTCCTTCTGTCTGTGTCGCTCGCACACACGCTGTTTAACTTGCTCCCTACAAACTTGCATCCGCCAGTTGCACCAGAAGGGCGCTCAAGGTGGCGGCAGCAGCACGGTTGGGGTAGGCGACCCACATCACAGTGGCATACGACCTGCACCTGGCCGACCCATCGCCCACAGCGAACAAAGGGTAACTTCGCTCTTTGACCTTCTGCAAGAGCTGTCCGTACCGCCCAAGTCTGGAGGGTGAGCGAGTGGTCCTTAGACATTGCGGTCGCCCCGGTGGTCTAGTGAGTACCCTCACAGCCTGCTAAGGGCCAGGTCATGGGTTCGAGTCCCGGCAGAGTGAGTTTTTTCTCACTAAATAAATCCTTGTCTAAATTTAGGATGAAAGCGACGCGCTGCAGAGTTCGTTGTTAGTAAACCATAATCGACTTCATAAGTCGCGAGGGAAGGGATTGCTGTACCCTTCTCGCGATAAAAATATCTCAGGCAGGAACCGCCGGAGGGGGTCCAATCTCCCCCTCCTGTGTGACCCCGGTTGGGTCGTCTAGCTAGTAGAAGTAGAGGATAGGGGCCAGAGGGGCAGATGACAGTGTCCAATGATGGGAGAAAAAAAGTAGCCCGGATCGTGAGGGACAAACCATCTGGACAAAGCGGAAAGAAGCGGTTCGTTTTGGAGCAAAAAATTGAACTTGTTGAAATCGAGCAGTGCTGCACAAGTCAGTGCCTGCTCAAAACCGGAGCGCACTGCTCCCCTTCAGAATATTCATGAAACCATCAACCTGGGTCGCGCCTACTGCCGCGAGGCTTTCTCTGCATCTTCCTCGAGAAAAGGGGCTCGCAGAGTAGCGCGGATTTACAATACGTGCGGTGCCTCTCCCTGATAACGAATGTTGTGCGTATGTGCATGCCTCATCCTTCGTTTCGCCCTCCTGCCCACCCGGCATTCTCGTCCGTGCGGCTTGCTTGTCTATCCTTCCCACGCAAAACAAAACATCTTCTTCAATTTCTCATGGCAGTTCCTCGCACGGCGCCCGACCCGCTGGCGCACCACGAGGCACAACTGCATCATCGTTGGCTTCTTCTCTTTCCACGAACAGAGTGGTTTGCTCGAAGGGCAGCAGCAGCTTAGATATCACTGGTGGGAACCAGCAGCAGCCATCAGCTGCCTCGAAGACGGGAACGACACCTTTTTCTGAGGAAACACGAAGACGACGGGATGGGGCAGGGGTGAGGGATGACGCGGCCGGCGGAGTAGCGCTGGAGGCACGACCACGAGCTGTTGCTGGTTCTGGGCGGCGACAGCAGCAGCAGCAGCAGCAGCAGCAGCAGCAGCGGCGGCAGCAGCGGCAGGGGTGGGACGGCAGTATGCCTGTCAGCAATGACTCTCATCCGCGCCTGCCACAGAGGCCTGTGCTTCGGCAGGAGGGGCAAAACGACCGCACCCCGATAGGCGCGTCCTCGGCCAACGAGGCGCGGCGCGTCACCTTCGCCGTCGACAAGGAAGCGGGGCAGGCTCGCCGTCTGCAGAGCGGCAGGGGCTCCGGTGATTCCTCTTCGAGGGACTGTGACCAGCGCGCGGTGGCTGCCGCGCAGGCAGCACTATCAGTATCACCGGTGAACCGACCAGGGGCGCGTCAACGAGAAGTGGAGTTGTCCACAAGGCTTAGGCGTGTCGATGATGCCGGGGGCGGGGGGGGGCGGGAGGACAGCGGCACTGGTTGTCGTCGCGCCGCCGGCGGGAGCGCGCGAGGGGCGGCCGGCCGGCAGCGCGGCCCTCCCTTGAGCGTGCGAGAGAACAACGCGGCTGTCTCTGGTGCGGGGCCTCTTTGGCGAGCGGCTTTTCCTGCACGAGGAGGAGGAGGAGGTGCAGGTGAAGGACCACGAGGGACGACGGGCGAGTGGGGCAGCAAGCCTACGACGGGGGGGCGGCGGCAGGGGAACGGCGGAACCGGCGGGGGAACGTCGGAACAGGTCGACGACAGGGTTCGCAACAGCAGTGAACGGTGGACGACGCTGCCGCAGGACGGAGGCGACGAGGTCCAGTGGATGAGCCAGGGGGGCGATCCCACCACGGCAGGGGTTGACGGTAGCCGCCGATGGCCCTCAGCGTCCACCAACCTGGACAGTTTCCGCGGAGGTGGCCGTGGTGGCACGGGGGCCAACACCAAGCATACAACGTCGCACGCAGAGGAGGAGGGGAACGATGTTGGCAGCGACGGCGGCGACGGCGGCGACGGCGGCGACGGCGGCGGCGGCGGCAGCAGCGGCAGTGGCAGCGGCAGCGGCAGCGGCGGTGGCGGTGGCGGCCAACGCGGGCAGATCGCTCGCCGAGGAACCCGAGCGCCTTCGCCGTCCGCCGGCGAGGACATGTCGCCGGGACGCGCGAGGGGAGGGAAGAGGGCGAAACGAGCGGCGGAGGGCAGGGACGAGGGTGACCGTGACGGCGGCACCGACGACGGGCAAGGGCTGTTCGAGGGTTCTAGTGATGAGGTTGGTTCGTGTGGGAACAGCTCGTATGGTCGGTGTGATTGATATCTCTGGGGTAGTGCACGTGGTGGGGGGCGGCGGAGACTGACGAGGGTGGGCTGACCGAAGTCTGGAGCGTTGAAGTCACGCCGACAGTGTTGTGCTTTTTGTTGCGGGGTCCCTCGCCCTCTCCAGGTCGGAGGGCAGGGGGGTGGCACACTCACTGGCATATCGCGCCCTTGAGAGATCTGACCGCTCGCTTCGCATCCCTTTCGAATGACAGGCGAGAAACGCGGACTATCCTTCTACTTATTGATCAAGACATCTCAAACACGTTATGACGTGGTTGCTTCCAAGTTTTACATGGACAATTTCTTGATTCTTCTTTCTCGTTGCGTGGTGGTAGTTCTCTTCTCGCTGTCATGTTCTGTGAGCCGTACCTTTTCGCCGCATCTTCTTTCCCCTCCTTCTAAAGCAGCACCTTCGAAGCAGCACGCGATAGTAAGTAGTTCGTGCCAACGAATGTCACGGCAGTCGACAAACCGAGGGCACGGGTACACCACGGTCTTCAGTGCCCTGCCGCGCACAGTTCCTTAGACAGTTGCGCTTCAATGCACTTGTTTGTCCCATTCCTAAGAGCAAGGAAATAACCCAGAGCCCCCCCCCTCCCGCCCATCACTTGCCTCCACACGTTGTCAACGGCCGACACTCGTTTCCTTGCTGCCAAGAAGGGATGCACGTACTTCGGCAACGATGATCCCGCCGCAGGAGGAGCACAAGACGACAGGCGGCACAAAGACAACGACCCGAAGGGGGCGCCGCAGAAGAAGTTGCTCAGGGTTCGCGGGCTCTGCCGCATGCAGGGCAGTGTGCTGGCACTGGTAGAGTGGTGAGCACATCTACGGTAGAAGCAACGACGAGAGTGCGCTCGGCGAACCCGTTCGTGACCCGCGGCGGGCCGGCCACGCGACCGCTCCTGAACCCCCACGGGAAAAGAGCCTGATGCCAGTGTACACCCTGCCGTCTAATATTTGCGGCTTTCGTCTTCCCACCATGCCCCCCCCTCCACCCCCCCAAGAAAATCGCTAATTAATCCTGGACTCTCATCTGTGGAGAGAGATGGATTTGGTATGTTGTGGCGTGAAGAGTACATACACACACGGCTACAAGACTGACGTATTTTCGTTGGTCAGGCGTTTATCGCGGTCCTTGCTATCTGAGACGTCACACATGCCTGACCATGCACGAACGGGTCGCGCAGGAGCATGGTGGACGTCGACGGGGCCGCCTCTACGGAGCTGAGCTTCGTGCTCTCCTCCACCCTCAAGGCCGAGTGGCCTCGGCAGTACATCGACTACCTCGAGGCGAAGATGGTGTTCGAAGAGGAGGAGAACGACGGAGCGTAGCGGCGGTAGGAGAACCACAGGCAGCAAGTGTCTCCCGGCGGCGAGCGAGGCGTGGTCGCAGAACGTCAGCGGCTATACCCGAAGCCGGACGTTGGCATGGGTCGGGGAACGGAGTGGCAGCTTCTGTGGTCTCAGATATGAACCGCGCGATTTAGATGGCGGGAGAAGGGCGTGTGTGCATGTGATGATGTGTTTCGTACGATGGGAAAGATGCGACGTGCTGTTGGTGGGCTGCGCCCTCGTTGCGGGGTGGGTTGCGTGAGACAGACAACGGGTGTCAATGGTTTATTTGATGATGACCTCTACCGCTTGCGGTAGTGTGGGGGGGTGGAGTTAGGGTTAGGATAGAGAACCGGCTAAATTGCTGTATCTGTCATCGTTCTCGCTGTCCTTGAATGAAAACCCGCCTTTCTCTATAAAAGGCAGGAGTGTGGACTACCACCGTATACTGTAGCGTTTATTCGGCCGCGATGGAGTCGGTTGTTCGGATGGAGTCGACCCCTACTCTTACTACTGGAACGTGGAGTCCGGAAGACACCATGGCACTTGTATAGTCTAGCCCGTTCTTGTCCAACGGCATGAAGGGTGGGCGGTTTGTGCTCACTCAAGACACTTCGTTGTCTTAGGCAGGCAAGTGAAGGGAAGACGGCAACACCGCATCGCCGCCGAAAGATCACCCACCGGCTGAGCACCCTTGATGTGGTTCCTAACAATCTTGAATTACTGTTTACTCCTACTGTAGTAGTGATGTACGATACGGTGTGTATGGTGTGTATATGGACTGCGTGCACCACCTTCGAACCGGGAGGCTGTTGCGCAGAAGAACCTGGAGGCCTCGGTGTCGCAGGGTTATTGGGGTGAGTGAGTAGGGGAGGCAGCCGACACTTGGTGTAGCTTCTGTTGCTTTTTGTTGAGAAGTAGTGACTACACGACAGTTCTTGCGATGTACAATATAGCCCCCGTTTTACGAAGGGTGCAAATCTAGAAGACCTTTGTTTTTGCGCGGTGTGTGTTGTCCCTCAAGCTCAAGCTTCAGGAAACGCCCTTCTACATGCGTGTGTTTGTCGTCGAGTGCGACCGCCCCTCCCCATGGGTTGGGGGCTAACGTTGTGTGCGAGGTGGATTGGAGTGTTCGTCTCAAAAGCGGGAATCCAGCGGCGGCGGCGCATATCTCATACGGTCGCTACGTGTGCGCAGCAGCAGCAAAAAACATACGGGCAACACGTGGGGAAAAAACGGTCTTGTGCAATGTGAACGACGATCGAGACATGACAACACCGCTGTAAGCACCGAGCGGACCCGCAGCTGTGCTAAAGCTTTTCTATCTCTTGAACCATCTTCCCCCCCATGCATACGGTGCTGGCGGGTAAACCGGTCAAAGCAGCAAAAACACGGATCCGCAGCTCCTCGGGTAGCGCTAGTAGGCGCTACATGCTTCGCAAAAGCGTTAACATGGTATAACTTCAGCAGGTCAACGAAACCTCTTGTGACTTGGCACAGCACGGTAACACGACCTCCCCGGCAGCAGCAAGTACGAGCCCACAGCTAGCTGTCTCAATGCAATGACCATGTGAATAGAACCACGAGCAAAATAACAACAGCAAGTGTCACTGCTAAGTCTCCATTCTCTAGAGTGGCGGCGAAACCTGATCTCTGAACATTCCGTCCTTCACCTACCCCTCGACCTCCACCTTGTAATCCGGGCCCTCCCCTGGTGATGTGAAACGACACGTACGAAAACCGAACGTCCGTACATATGTTCCTAGCGCGGCGCCCACTTAGTCTAGAGAGAAAGGCATTCAGTGCTTTAGCTGACATGTGTTTCTCTCTCGTCCATGTCTTTCTCTCCCCCATGTCTAGTTATTAGTACACCCATTCATCCATCCATCCATCCATCCCATTGACAAAACCAAATTAAGCGGGATTTGTCATCAGCAGAGCGACCCGTGTCCTGTTATTACTTATCAAGAACATATTCGCACGCACGTACCCAGAGGTTCGTGATCCATGTTTCCACTCGGAGTGGGCTCTCGAAGAGACGAAGCCGACCGCAAGACATAGAAACTACATACAAGCACGATATCACTGCATGACCAAGTAATGAAACAAAACACGGTTGACAAGTAGAAGCAAAGCAGGGAGAGCATCAAGATCTCGTTCATCCACCTCACAAAATCCTTCCACCCTTGCCCGTGTCTCGTGAACACGTAAAAAAAAAAAAAACTCATTCCCCCTCGACTTGTTCTGGTAGCGTCTGGTAGACACGGGGGAAATGATTCACGACGTTAAATCAACCACACAAACATCGCCGCCACCGCCGCTGCCGAACTTTGGTAGTCCACGGTTTCTCTCTCTTCCGCGGCACTGCTGTGTAGTCTCGACTGACCGGCTTCCTGATATGTTCGGCAAAAAACAAACACCACGGATCTCCCCGTGGCTTTTGTTTTCTGCCCATCTTAACTCCTTGCCGGCTCCTCTTGAGTTGTGATAAGGTAGCAAGCTACCGAGCTACGAGCTCCTGTACTCCTCGAAGAATACCCCGAGGGCGGACAGGAGGCCAGCCTTGAGGTCAGCGACGCAGGTCTTGATCCTGTCGGCGTACACGGAATCCCACTTTGAGCCCTTGTCCCACTTCAGCTCCGGCTTTTCATGCGTGTGCGGATTGTGCAGAGATTTGTGCGGGGTGCGGTGGAGGTGGAGGGGAACAACGGAGTCGGAAAACATCGATCAAATGAGTTCACCCCAGGTAGAGCAGGGTTGACGGGATGGAGCAGCCAAGTATGTGGTGGGCCATAAAAGAGCCTAGTGAGCAGATTCGCACTTTCATACTGTCCGTACTCGTCTGTTGCATGCCTTCGTCGATGTTTAAGAATTTTCGCGACAGACTTGCTCTACGAAACCCAGTCTTGCCCACAGAGGAAGCCAGTTCTGAACCCAGCAACTTCTATAGCAAAAAATACAAAAACAGCGACAACACCGGCACCCGACCAGCAGAACACAAACGGCAGCAGCAGCATCGGAGACCGCTCACCTCTGACTCAAACCGTCCGTTGTCCACATCGCCATTGGTCATATCCAAGAACTCCAGCGTGCCTTTGTACGTCTTTACCAGGGCGGCGTCCTTGCTTGCTGCTTGCCCCTCCTGCTGGGGGCGTCAATCGAACATCAAAGACAAACAAGTGGTCATCGATAGGGTCAACAGCTCGGTTTCAACTCCTTTGGCTGCTTCTGCTGTGAGACGAGTCTTGCACCTGGCGCCCGTCCAACCCCGTCGACCAAATACACAAATTGCAAAAAAAAAACTGGAAATCGTTTCTTTTCGTGAGATACCCGAGGAACGGTTTTTTTCCAGGGTCAGCGTCGGTACCGGTTTTTAAGGCGGATACAGACGCGGCGGTATTTCAACGTGGCGGTACTTTTTTGGCGGATCCCGGTACCTTAGTTTTCCGGCGGTACTGCCAACAATGGCGGTATTTGTCTGGCGGTACTGAAATATGGCGATACCGCCATCGGCGGTTCCCGGTACTGGCAAAAATGACGGTATTTTTCTTGCAGTGCTGAAATATGGCGGTACTCCTCATTCGGTCCCGGTGCCACCAAAATATGGCGGCTTTTACTTGGCGGTATTGACATATGGCGGTACTGCCTTCAGCTGTCGCGGAAAGACCAAACTATCAAATATTAAGATGTCAAAATATGGCGATGCAAGACTACATTCGGTGCGCCCCATCAACCGGCGAAACGCTTTTCTCTCTTTGCGGCGTGGGTCTTCTGTAATGTACCGTTGAGAGCGTATCGTTCCCCTATGATTTCGTGATTTCACGAGTCTGTGCTTAGCATCGTCAACTTCATAAGCAGCCTCCTCATGGACAAACGAAAGGCAAGGAAAATAATAGGGAAGACGCAAAAAAGAGGTGTGCTGAAAGGCGATCCGTCGAATGCCACGGAGAAAACAAGCATAGATTACTATTGTAGAACGGCATCAGATTGAAGTAAACACTTCACATGGCCATTCGTGCGTGGGCAGGAGCAGGCACCCATCACGGTATCATGGAAAAGATAAAAAGAGGTTCTACCGAAAAGGAACATGACAGAACCAAGAAAAAAGAAAAAAAACTGTCACACTTTCATCTATATGCTTTAAATTTTTCTTTATATGACCCAACGAATCCATCTCATCTAAGAAAAGAGTCTTGGATACAACGTATGTAGGAAGAAAGAGAAGAAAAAAAAGAAAAAGAAAAAAGAGAAGAACAGACGCACAGCGAGATTTGAACCTCTGTCCGTTGGAACCTGCCCCTCTGGTTTCCCCGATGCACCACCTGCCACGGGCACCCTCATGGCAGATTCGTGTCACGGCGGTTCCATTATGGCGTTACTGCAGTACGGGGGTACTAATTTGGCGGTACTAAGATATGGCGGTTATTTTTAAGCGGTTCCCGGTTCTTCGTTTTTTTGGCGGTACTTTTAAGGCGGAAGGCGATTTTTCGTTCTTCGGCGGTAATGTGGCGGTAATTACCGCCAGTACGGGGACCGCCCACCACGGCGGGAAAACAAACTCGGGAATTTTCCCGACGTGGACCCTGGATTTTTCGACCGATTTTATCGGTGTCGTTTTCGAATCACGACAAGCAAAGAAAAAAATGCAGGCAACACAACGCACCTCCTGTGCTTGCGGCTGCAGCCCCATGGACTCGTCGATGGTCAGCGAGAACTTGACCTTGACGTTGAACTCGAAGAGGTGTTTGATCTTGTTGCTCACGCAGATCACACGCGCGTCCGCCTCCACAATATCGACGCTCGTCACGTTCGCCCTCAGCTGCACAAGGGAAATTTCCAAGGATAGAACCCGGGGAAAGGAGGTCGGTGCTACAGCAGTAGCGACCAAACAGACACGAAGGGGTAGGGCCTCGTGTAGCGAGCCTCATCCCCCGCCTTACACGGAACAAGGCACTGTTGAGCGACGCTCACGATCCTAGGGTGTTTTGAGCCAACATCACATGGGTTTTCCTGCGGGATTTCCCGCGGGTTTCCCGCGGGTTTCCCCGGCAGCGAAACGCGTCAACGACAAAAAATGCCTGCATTTGTTCTGCCGGCACGATCGGGGGATTCGGAACATCGTCGCAACGGGTTGGAAGGTGTCCGGGAGAGTCTACCTCCACCCACCCTTCGGCTCCACGAGGGCCCTCGCGAACGCTACACTGCTATTTGACCCCGTCTCAACAAAAATGCTTCGCTAGAACATGGTAGGGCATCACCACCAACGCGAACAACGCCCACCTGCGCTAGGGTCTGCTTCAGCTGGCCGAGCGCCTCCAGCCCCTTCCCGCCCCCGGCGCCGTCTGCCGCGGCGGCGGAAGCGAAATCGAAACCGCCGAGCTTCTCCAACAGGAACTCCGGGTCGCTGCGAGCGTCCGTCCCGACGGTCACCGATACCTTCCTGCGAGACGACACAGAGGGCGAGAAAAACTAACCATGAGGACGATGATGGAAGGGCTTTACAATAACTAGTAAAAGACTCCAAGGGATATTTGGGAAGGGGTCTGCCATTGTCGACCAAAAGTACGAAATGAAGAGCGAAAAGAAGGAGGAAGAGAAAGCAAAGAACAAGGACGTAGATACGAAGAAGATAGAAACGAATTAGGGAGCGAAAAACGCAGGGATGAAGAGAACACTGAAAAAAGAAAGAGGTGTTGTAGGAGTACCTGAAGGCTTCCGTGAGCTTCCCCTTGCACCAGTCCGTCTTCTCCATCTCCTCCCAGGTCCCAGCGTTATTCCAAGCAGACCTAACGGCGTCCGCGTCTGCCTCCTTCTTTTCTGGGATGCTCGCCGGATCAGCCACACGCTGCACGAGTCGGCAAGACAATGCGCGAGCGATGCCGGGGGTAGCAAGGGGCACACCACCATGTCGTGGAAAAGGGGTGCCGCGGATGGTGACAAAGAGACAATACACCACTCCCCCCTTTGATTTCATACAAACTTTTGAGAGCCCGAAGGAAAAAAGAGAATCTTCCGTCACCGGCGCGCAATTATCGGCAGGTCGTTCGGGTACGAACAACAACAAGAGGCAAAACGGCATCGTGCTCCGCACGATTGGTCTGGTCGTGTGGTGGTGTCTTCCAAGGGTGTCTTACCTACGTAGTACCGACGCTACAAGATGGTCTTCGCCTCTACTTGGTTGCGTTCGTGCGTTGACTACAAGCCAAGGTCTGGCTATCACCTGGGCGTTGAGCCCGGCAAACACTGAACCCCAACAGGGACAACATATCGCTCCACGCAGCGCAACAACTAGGGCTCACTCGTGGTGTGTAGACGCAGCGGTTGGCGGTAATAATTATACAGCAGCTGTCGTAACGTCATCCGCTTCGGACTCTACTTCTTTAGAATTTACCCCACCCGCCCTCAAACACGCCGCATGATTCTCTCGCACCCGGGAAACGCACACGCTTTCGCCCCCCCCCCAATTCCCGAACCGCCCCCCCCGGTGTTTGCCATCGGGGTTGGGTTTTCGTCGCTTGGCAACGACGTTGTAAAACAAGCCGCCCTCCTCCCGGTGTTTGCCATCGGGATAGGGTTTTCGTCGCTTGGCAACGACGTTGTAAAACAAGCCAATTCACTTCGTGAGCTCGGCAACCAGGTTACCGTTTTCTTTTTTTACCTCCGTTTTTTTTTTTGGAGGTTACCATACTGGTGGTCGAGTAGATCATGTTGTGCGGGGTGGAGAACCCTCGCTCCGCGCAAGGGGGATGATCGCACCACGTTGTGTTAAAATGGTCAAGCACCCTCGAGGCAGTTACACAGTGCTTACAACTGTCTCTGGAAGTGAAAGCACCAGAAAGTAAATTAATTCATACGCAGCTGTCATCCGTACGCAAGGAAGTAAGCACAAGATGCCGAAAACCCTTAGCAGGATGCAGCGCACCCTTCATGCGACTCGCCGAATATCTCACGGCGCTTCGCGCTTGGTGATGTGAGAGCCTGGTCCGGTGAGAACCCGGCGTGCTCCGTCCCGGCTTTGTAGGGATGCGAGGTCAATGGTCTAACGACTACGGCATGCACGACTATGAGTACCCCCCCCCCACCCCCCAACCCCCGAACCCCCCCCCACCGCTCCAGCCCAGCGCGCTCACCGCTCTCAGCTTCATCTGCTCTGCGTTCAACAGCTTCTGGTCATGCTCGCTGAGCGTCCTCTTGAAGTAGCAGTACCCCTGCTTCTTCGTGTCCTGGATGATCTTCAGGTCGTCCTCGTCCAGCTCCATCTCGTCGTCGCCGTCCCCCCCACCCCCCTCATTCTTGGAAGGCTTTTTTGGCGGGGCGACGGGGATCGCGGAGGGGCGCGGGTTCGACCTCTCCTTCTCCTCGCGCTCCTTCTTAGCCTTCTCCTCCGCCTCTGTCATGCCGAGAACAGCAGACAGCACCCGTCAGACACAGCACAAAAAAGAAACGGGGGCGGCGAATAGCTTCTCCTGTGCCTCTGCCACGCACAAATATCAGCAGACAATACCCATCACACCCAACGCCAACAACGAGAAAAGGAGACGGCGAACCTCATGTTGCGGTGGATGCGGGCGGGGGGCGTCGCGAGGCGATTGTGCCATCTCGCTGCGCCGGTAGATACCGTAGACCTACAGAGTACATACCTTTCTTCTCCTTCCGCCAGTCCTCCAGCGTCTGCTCCTCCTTTCCATCCGCCTTTCTCTGCTCGTTGGCCTTGCCCCACTGCTCCTCCTCTTCCTTCTGACGTTTCAGGGCTTCGGCTTCTCGCTTCTTCCGCTCAACCTGTAACGAGGGGATAGGAGAAGGAGGAGGGCGTGTCTTGCTTTCGGCTCTCCCGCCGACCCTTCACGCATGTGTGCGTGAAGACGGCCGTGTGTAGAGACAAAAGGTTCGCCTGCCGCGTGCACCTAAGCATATGACTGTGAGCTCACGCGAAGCGACATGTGCGTACCCCAGAATAAAAAGGCAGCACCAGCCACTGCAACAGCAGAATCAGCAGCGGTAGATCACTCAACCTCACTCGTCGCTGTACACAAGGCTTCCTGCCGAGCGACTATCCGTCAATCAGCCGACTCCACAACGGAAACAAGGAAATACCACCAGCCACCACACGTACGAACGAAAGACGCGCCGCACCCTCTCTCTAGCCCCCGATGACTCACGCTTTCTCCCCATCCTACTACCTCTTCGGACACCAAAGAAAAAACGGATTGAGGCGGCAGCATTTATCTTCGGCCAACGAGAGAAAATCACGACGCACAAGAGCGCGCCAACTCTGCCATCTCCGTCCAGTCGCCAGCGAGCCATCGCTCACCCGAAAAACTCAAACGACTAGCTCGTGGTCCCGGTTTAGCGGTTACTTCTCTGTTTCTCAGGATGCCCTGAACGGCGGTTCCACAATCTCGTGGCACGGCCGCACCCCCGTAGTCCAACTACTACATAACCCCCAATCCGGTTGAGCGGCGATGCCCTCAGTAGCAGGAAAAACATGCAATAACACTCTGGACCGCTAAACCGGGAACACAAGTGCCGTATCGACACGTGAGAAAAACACGGTCTTGTACACCTCGTCGTCATCGCGAACGGACCCCCCCCCCCGAAAATACTATATCTGTGTGGCACCCTTGGGGAGCATGTTTGTAGGGACCCCCTGCTTGCCTCTTTGTCGTTGTACATTGGCCCCTTGTCGAACAGGCCCCCGTAGCTCTCCTTCTCCTTCTTTCTGTGCTCCATGAGTCGGTCTCGCACCGCCTGCCGCGCAGACGGTGCGACGGGGGCGGGAGAGAAAGTGAGGGAAGCAAGAGAGAGTATCACGCATGGGAAAGAGAGGGAGAAAGAGAGAGAGCCTGCCGAAAAACTAAAAAAATCCCACAGATCTCCACGATGGGCGTCCCCGCATCCACTCTCCACTCCCGTTCACAAAACAGGAGTGGGGGGAAGGGGGTGCCGACTACTACTCCCGCGCCCCAGAGACCTCGTTCGCCTCGAGTCTTGTGTGACAGAATATGATAGGGAAGCAAGGAAGGCAGACACACGCACTCGATATGACCTACAGTGCCCCCTTTCTTCACAATTCTTTAGCACAACCACAGTGCACCCTTTTGCCGTGGAACTCTTGACCACAAATTTGAAGGAAAGCACAGCAGCAAAGCACGGCCTTGTTCGCAATAAACAGCACAAGGGCATCCCAGAGGTAAGGCGGACTTTGAGCTAATATGCAAACAACATCCACGACAATAACACAGCAGCAGCAGCAGTAGCAGTACAGCAGCAACAACGCGTAGATCAATTCACCTTGAGCTCCTTCTTGGCTCCGCCATTGCGCGGGTCAGCCTTGACAACGGCCAGCAGGTCACTCTTGGCGTCTTCCAAAGCCCCAAGTCGTGCCCTAGCCACACCTCTCCGAAACAAAGCCTACGACACGACCACGATCGAGCGACGCGGCGAATGCGGCTGAGAATACTAACAAGCCTTCACAAGCAGACACACACACGCACACCATTTTCCCGGAGGATTGCCGGAATTCTTGCTGTTATTAAATATTCATTGTCACCCTTTGCGAGCCAGCTCCCCTTTCGCAATACTTCTTTCACGGCCAGTGCGGATGCTGTCGAGGCACACGAGGGTGCCGACATTGCCGGAATTCTTGCTGTTAGTAAATATTCATTGTCACCCTTTGCGAGCCAGCTCCCCTTACGACCACGAAAATTTTCTTTCGCTATACTTCTTCAACGGCCAGTGCGGATGCTGTCGAGGCACACGAGGGTGTCGACGTGCCGTCAAAGCGGATCGCTTCAATGCAAGAACGAAATTTACAACAGTAGCAGCAGCAGCAGCAGCAGCAGCAGCGTTGCGGGTGGAGGAAAATTCTCTCCGTCTCTTTCTCGCCCACTGACCCCAACCTTCTTACTGTTTCCCGCTCTTNCCGTCCCCACGACGACCCCCACCTTGACGTTGGCGGCGTCCACCTCCAAAACCTTGGTGGCCGCGCTCGCGGCGTCGAAGTACCGCTCCTCCTTCGTGCAAGCCAGCGCGAGGTTGAGCCTGAGCGACAGCAGCAGGGCCTTCGCCTGCTCGTCAGTCCCCAGCGTGGAGACGATCTTGATGCCCCTCTCATAATGCTTGGCGGCGCCGGCGCTGTCGCCCGCCGCGATGCACACGTTGCCCTTGTCCTTGTACCCCATGGCCTGCGTCGATATTCCGTGGGGGGATGCATCGGGGGGGCGGGGATTCGTCTTTGTTTGCTTGCCGGTCAGAGGGGAGG